CAGCTGTGTCTTTAGCAGTTTATGTGCAAAATACGGATAAAGATGGTTCAACTCACCTGCACAAAATCCTTTCATTGTTCAGCCACTGCCATCTAGGGTGACCAGATGTCCCAATTTTATAGGGATAGTCCCGATTTTTGGGTCTTTTTCTTATATAGGCTCCTATTACCTCCCACCCCCGTCCCGATTTTTCACATTTGCTGTCTGGTCACCCTACTGCCATCACATGCCAAAATGAAACGGGGCAGGTAAAAATTGACAGAAAATAGATAACATTTGTCTGGGCTTGTAGAGAGCTGAGCTATAAGGAAACCAACTTATGTAATATAATTTCCATTTCTAAACTTGCTAAATAATTTACCAGTTCCAAGGGAAGCATTGTGAAAAATGGACAAATGTTACTGAATTCACTGAGAAAGCTACTGTATCAGCTGGGTCAGGGAAGGTGACGGAATATAAACTTTTTTAGGGGAAACTGATTTGTGCATTTTCAAAGTCTTTATATTGCTATAGGCAGAGCTGGTAGTGACCTCTATTTTAGGTTGCTTAACACTTTCCATTTTAAACCTCTTTTTGAGAAGCTGTCATTAACATTGCATTGTTTGCAGCAGGATTTTGAAATTCAGCAGGGAGAGAGCCCTTAAAAGTGCCTTTTTTTTATCCCATGAAATTCCATTCAGGTTTAGTGAGCTATAAACTTTTGAAAATTGCTTTTTGCCCTTCTGCTTCTTGAGTTCCTCAGGAAACCGTTGACAACATTCCAAAATAATAACTGAATATGACTATTTTAAGATCTGGGACCATACAACTGCCAAAGCAACAGCAGTGTACACTATATTAGGAACATCTGGAAGCTGCTGTAGCATTGAGGTGGAGTAGGGAGAATCAGACCACATAACTCAATACTTGACCATTCAGACAGGACTGGTTAGAAAAGGGCTTCTCAAATCTTAATAGAAAGAGTATCTCATGAACCAACCCCTCCTTCCCTTTCATGATCACACAGTCTGCCCCTCCTTCCATTTTTGCTAGCAAAAGTTTCCTAGTATTACTTTTCCATGTATGGAACTTGGAAATATTGATGTAGTTTTAGTTCTCTTTAGTGGTAATTATTTTGTCCTTTTTGAAAAGAAATTCTCACACTGTCTACTTTTGTTCTTCATTCCACCCACCCCACCCATGTGTTCTGTGTCTGTCAACCAGAAACAAAGTGAACAAGCAACTTGTGACCAGCTTACCTATCTGCAGACCACCGACAAGTGCTCCGGACATTATGAATTGTTCACAGTTTGGGAATTTATGGCTGTGTCTTCACTGCCAAAAATGGTGGATATTTTTACAGCAAGATAACTAACAAGTTAGCATTCTCACTGCAAAATCTTAGTGGAGACAAGGCACAGGTAATTATTACCTCACTGTATCTACATGAGGTCAACATTCTACTATACCTCACCTTCTTATATCTAAGTAAAAACTAGAGTCATCACCACTAGCATTTTATAGCAAGATAGCTAACTCACATTAATTATCTCACAGTAAAAAAACCACCTTTTTGGCAGTGAAGACATAGTAGTCTAAGTAAAAACAACAAGGAGTCTGGTGGCACCTTAAAGACTAACAGATTTATTTGGGGATAAGCTTTCGTGGGTAAAAAAAACCCCTCACTTCTTCAGATGCATGGAGTGAAAGTTACAGATACAGGCATTATATAATGACACATGAAGAGAAGGGAGTACCTCACAAGTGGAGAACCAGTGTTGATAGGGCCAATTCGATCAGGGTGGATGTAGTCCACTCCCAATAATAGAAGAGGGGGTGTCAATTCCAGGAGAGGCAAAGTTGCTTTTGTAAAGAGCTAGCCACTCCCAGTCCCTATTCAAGCCCAAATTAATGGTGTTAAATTTGCAAAATAATTTT